GACGAGGGACGGTGAGCCCGGGAGAGGGGAAGGGGGGGGGGCACTAGCTGTGTTACCAGGGAAACAGCTTCTGGATTTGTGGCACCCTCTCAGCTGCGGAGAGAAAGCTGAGATGCAAAATTCAGACCAGGTCTGAGCCCGCAGTAAAAAGGAATAACAAGCTAAATTATATGTATACATATATATATATGAATATAATCTTAGCTCCATTAGGAAATGTATGGATTCATATTTTGTACTTAGAATTTATTGTAATCGGAGTGATAATGTGTCCATGGGCAATATCAGCAATGACAAGGCATTTTTTTCTTCCCTTGGGTTAAAAGAAGAACAAAACTCTCTCTACATACATATACATACGTGTGTGTAATCTCTGTGTGTATATATATACACGTAATATATAAAAACATATAAAATGTTCTGTCCCTGTGTAAATTCTTAAATATCCATGTAATAAGGGTGCAAAAACCAAATTTGTTCTATGAAGTTGCTAGTGGTTTTAAGGTTAAAAAAACACTTTACTTTTTCTGCACATTCTTTGGAAGAATTTCTTCTTTTTTTAACCAAAAAAAATATTTATTTATTTTAATTATTTTTCATTTCAAGGAAGAATTTCTAATATGGAGGAAAAGTTCATCAAGGAGATGAATTGGTTTTATTTAACAAATACAGACACCTGCAGTGTACTACTGAGCTAGGCCCAGTGATAGCTACAGAATGTTATGAGCTTCCTGGTTACTGCCTAGAGGAGCTGAGCCCAGGCGTGCAGGAGGTGGACAGGTGAGGTGGAAGGTGAACACTGCAGCCCCTGGAGGAGGCAGTGCACGCAAGGTTGCTGCCAGAGGCCTAGATGCGCAGGGTCTGGGGATACTTGATGCATCTGGAGAGCGTCCCATGGTAAAAAACATAGAACAGGTCACAATATGCTAGTGCACTCTTAGATCATGCATGTCCTCATGATATTACACATTAACAAAAATCAGCAGGTATGCTAGGCCCTAAAAGATGTATTAGAGTGTTTTGGGAATGAGACTTTTTTCACTTTTAGATTGTCGTAGCAGCGATGTTGTTTTGCTCTACCATTAGACTTAGAGTTTAACTAATATGAAAAGTGTTCGAAGTGAGAAGGGTTCAATGTACAGTCTAAATTAGAATATCAGGTTCCTTCCTACCTCCCCCATGCCTGACTCTTCCTAAGAAGAAATTGCATACATCTGATGTAACTTACAGGCATATCTTTATTTTCCCCTCTTAATGCAATCTGTAAGCTATTGTGCATTTACTGAAGACTTTAAAAAGAACACTACTGATCAGACTTGATAATTAGCATTTTCTATTAGAGCATCCATAACTCGGGTGGCTTAAACAACAGAAATGTATTTTTCCATAGTTTTGGAGGCTGAACATGCAAGATCAAATTGTCACCAGGGTTGTTATTCCTTGGCTTGCAGATGGTTTGTCTTTATGTAAGAACACCAGTTGTTTTGGATTCAGGACCCTCTCCTATAACTGCATTTAACCTCAACTACCTCTTTAACGGCCCTAACACCAAATATAGTCAAATTAGGCATGAGAGTGTCAACATGATTTTTTTTAAATTTTGCTTTTGTTATAAGGCACGTGTGTTTGGCATAGAGAAACAAAGAGAGTTGAGAAAGCACCCCCTCTTCATGGGGATGGCTATGCTTCAGTCCTTTCTCCTCCATTTTCCTTTTAGGATTTGGGGCAGACACTCACATGCACATGTTTTTCAAGCTGGTTCCAGGAATCGGACCACACAGTTGACCATGTAGGATGCAGCTATTTTAACCACCTACCTGGCTACCAATATATGAATTTTTTTGTTTTTTTGAAGAGGTTTTTTTTTTTTTTTGCTATAGGGCGCGTGCGCTCGCCAGACACAGACAGAGACAGAGAGACAGAAAGCGAGAAATCACCCCCCCAGGGGGGATGGCCACGCCGCAATCCCTTCTCCTCCATTCTCCTCTTGGGGTCTTGGGCATGCACGCACACGCGCCCGGTGTGAGTTTTAAGCCACCGGGTCCGGGACGCGAACTGCCGTCGATTATGTGGGAGTCCAGTGACATAGCCATTACGCTAACTGCTAGTCCCCCAATACATGAATTTTGAGGAACACAATTCAAACTAAAATACATTATAACTGTGTATGTTAATTTAGAATGTTACACAATATATAAAAGAGATTGAAAAAAATGAATGGATGCCTTAGATACTCAGATTTAAAGATAGGACAATATAGTATTATAAAAGTTTCGGCAAAAAAGAACCCACTAAAGCAGAAATACCATAAAATTTTTAAAACATTATTTATTCTGGGACCAGCAGGTGGCGTGGTGGTTAGAG